GTGGTGGGCCCCACCGCCATCCCCGGAATGACGCTCCGCCGTTCGCGGTTACTTTTTGTTATTGGCCGAGTCGGATGAATTCCACGAATGAATTTGATAGGTTTCAAATTAATATAGGGCTGCGGCTTTATAAATAGTCAAAATAGCGATATACTTTCTAAAAATGGTAAGGCTTTCAATTATAGGTTCCAATCTTTTTCTTTTCCTCAAATCAAATTTGTTCTTAAATTTTAAACTTGTTTGTTAAAAGATAAGGATTCAAATCTGTACTTGATTATGTCAAATATTTTGTTTTATTTCATAAAATAATATGTATTTTGTAACAAATATTTTGCATCAGTATATTTCTTTCATTTATTCCAATAGCTAGTGGATGTCTCCACTTGCACAAACGGAAGAAGCTAGGTGTATTATAGGTTGTTAGATATTGGAGTTTTAAACTTTGAATTAATGTTATTGAAACAATAAACAATAACAATTAAAGATAAGAAAAAAAATTATTATTATTATTATATATTAGGTTATGAATTAAAACTTATTTGTAGCTAACATTTATAAATACAACCTTAAATGTAGTATATAACCAGATTTCTCATATGTGTTTGCTTCAGCGTCTATTATTTTTCTTTGAAAATGAGTTAATTGATACATAAAAGAAAAATGAATTAATTGATACACAGAATTTTCAATAAAAGATATAAAAGAAAATATTTTTTCATCAAGTGGCTATTTCTATAACCTTTTTTTTGTCCATGTATCATATATGTATCTTTTCTAGACAATTATTTATTTTTATTTAATCAATTCTCTAATCATGATTTCCTAGAAACCAAAATGCTACGTAATAAATATTGCTAAAAGTGAGATGTATGGTACATGTTCTTCCCTTGTTGAGAAAATAAAACAACTTAAATATATATATATTTTAGTTTTTTTTAAATGAGACAATGCAATTATCTTTATATTCGTTTTTTTTTATTAATTTCATATACATACTAACAAAATGTGTTTGATATGCACGTGAACATAATTTAGAAATGCTACAGAGAAAAATATAATTAAATTTTAAAGAACAAGTCATCCTGAGCTCTTTTAAGTTTATTGGTGATATTTTATGTGATGTTTTTTTAGTCAACCTCTAATCTCAAATAAATAAGTACATATCTTAACTATTGAGTCATGTTATGGTAGRCTGTGTATTTACTTCAATTTATCTTTATCATAAATTAAGAGACATATTATTCTCTATTCAACATTTACAAGACACGTGATCATGAGCAAATTTAATACACATGTCTGAAAAGGAAAATGGTATAAAATTCTTGGAAGCAACGTATAAACTAAAACTTGATATCACACATAAAAAGATTTGAATGAATGTGTACGTACGTGTGGGATGAAATTAAAAGGAAAAAACCTCAAAAATTAAAAAAGATATTTAAAATTTCATGATTTGTCAAGAAAAAGAGTAAATGGGGGGTGAGAGAGATTGTGTAGACTCCTTTATTTAGTAAAAGGTATTTCCACATGCAACATGCATATTGCCAAACATTGAACAAAACAAAATATGGAAAGACGAATTGTAGAAACACTGGAAAAACTTTTATAAGGTTGCTTCTAATCACTTCTAACTATTTATAGTTTGTTTGATGAATCTTTTGTTTTTGTTTATTTTAAGAAAAATAACATCATGTTTTCAAAAAATAAAAAATAAAAAAATCTGTTTTTTGTTTCTTGATGAAATTATAGAAATTATAAAGAGATTTATATGGGTAGAGGGAGGTAAAGTTAAAATTCAGATATTTATTTTTCTGGTTTTTTATTTTAAGTTTATTAAAAACGTATGCCTGTGGTAATTAACTTTTTTCTTTTATTATTTAATTGTCATTCTTTGAGAAAAATATTAAATAAACAATTACGAAGATAAATAGGTATTATTATGTTAAAGGACAATAAATGATTCCTTAACAAACGTGTTCTTTTGCTGTTCAATGGATGTAAGGTTTAATTAATAGAGTTTGAACTTAAGTTGACGAGACACCGTCTCAATAAAGTACCACTGTAACCAATTAGTACATTTTCTAATGCCATAATTTCTCAAAAATTCGTTTTGTATAAACGAAGAATTTAAAACTTTGAAATTTATTTGAATAATATACTCTTACCATTAATTAAAGTTAATCACGTGTTTTGTTGGAGTGGCATAAGATCATCTCCCAATTTTCACTTTTTTTTTCCTTCAGTTACACATATAAATATATATAATAATAATGATAATAAAAACATATATATCATTAATTGTCTATCGAAATTTAACATTTTAATTTATCTAATCATAGTTTAATTAGTTGGAAAATTAAATATAATTTAATTGATTAAGAACGTATATTATTAATAAAAAAATTAGAGGGTCGAAAGTTGAACTAAAAAATAAAAAAGCAAATACAGTATAAAAATTTTCATGGAACTTTCCCCGTACACGTCGGAGAAAAAAAATTAACCTAATTATTCATCGAGGAATGGGACATATATCAAATTTCTTGCCCAACCCAGATTTTTTTTAATAATAACTTTCTATATGTTACTAAAATTTTAATATACGTGCCTATGTTTATTTTTTTAAATTAAAGATAATTACATAATTGAGATTTTTGTTTATTTTTAATTTTTCTGCAGGAAGTCTGGTCGAGGATTTCTCCGACCACCACAACCCTAATTTTTCCAACCTCATTATTGGGGGTGAACAAAGAGATCCAAAAAATTTATCGGCCAAATCGACATCGGTCTTGGTCATACACTCTAAATTTCGAATGACCGACCAATAATAATATACATATTAAATTTATTATTTATTAGTTTTATTTTTATCTTTTTGACATTAGATTTGAAACTCTCCTTAATATGGAAGAGAATTTGAACGTGAATGTAAACAACAATTGAAAACAGCATATACAATAGAAATAAGGAAAGGAAAATGATGGGAATAAATTAAAAAACGAAATTGAAAAAAAAATAGCATTGCCGATTTCTCGACAATCCCACCGACATCGACCGGCGTTAATTCCTACAATTAAACYGTTGATTTCCATATTTGAAAATTGACTGTATCAATTTTTAACGTCGGGGTAATAATCGATCCATGCTCAGCCCTATCCATTACCGTTCTTAAATTTATTCATCTTCCGGATAATAGATTGGAGTAATCTACAACTCTTTATTATACGTAATAATATCGAAGAGGAAAACACTAGACCATAATCCATAACGGAGAAAACCAAGAATGAGATTTGATTATATTTATATATTTAAAACGAAAAAAAAAACTGGTCACATCTCAGGTTTTTTCTTGAAAATAATTGTTTTCTAAACATTATAATAATTAGAAGGAGAGAAAAAATAAGTGGTGGGGCGTGTGATGTAAGCGGCAAATCCCATAGGACAGAAAAATATTAGATTATTAAACAAAGAGAGATTAGTTATCCACCGACTGAATTCTTCTCTTCACTTTCGAAACTCTCCCAATTCCCAATTCCTCAAATTTTAATTTCAATTTCAATTTCAATTTTCAACCCTAAATCCTTACCCACCCACATCCAATTTTCCACCACTCAATTTCCAATCTCTTCCTTCACATTTCACATTACAGTATAACATTAATTACTATGCTTAATTTTCACTCACTTTCTAGTTTTTGATAATCTAGATCACAAACATCCCCATTTTGCAAACTAATCCAAATCTCTAAATTCCCATTTATTTTTTTAACTTCATCTTCCACCCCTCATCAAATTTCAGTAGTTCCAGAAGCTGTCCAGGTCGATCGGCGGCGGCGCCATAGGAGCCGCCGGAGCAGCTTCTTGGGGATTCTCAAACGGCCTTCGACCCATTTCGAGATTCGAGAAAACCGATGAGATTTCGTTGTTCACGTCGTTCGTCAGGCACGTTTCCTGCGAGACGCTGATCTTCTTCTTCTCCCTCTCTGGTTTGAATGATTCTCTCGTGTTTCCGCCATTGACGTTCTGAAGCAGAGCTCTCAGAAGAGACTGCTGCTCTTGCAACAGAACCGAGCCGGGGAATTGCAGATTTGGCGGCACAGGGAACCCCTGATTGGGTACTGAATAGACTGAATTCGAATGTGGGTTTCTCGGAAATGAGTCGATCGGATTGGGAATTGCAGAGAACAGAGGGTTGTTGTTGAACGAAGAAGCCATGGGTTCTAGCTTTCGTTGAGAATCCATGGCGATGGAGAAGCAGGGCACGTTATTGGACGATTGAATGGGGCGTTTGGTTTCTCCATTAAAAGGTGGAGAATCTGTTAATGGAGGAAGGATCGAATGGCCAAATTCGTTCCCAAAAGAACCCAATTTCGATATCCCAGAGATGTCGATTTTTTTCCCACTCGAATTCTTCTGAAACACCCTGCAAATCACCCACTCGTTCTGCAAAACAGAGGGACAAAATTCTCAGATAGTGGAAAAAAGAAAAAAAAAACAGATAAACAAATTTTTTCGTAATGATAAATCAATTCATACCTTGGCAGTTTTGGGGAGGTTCAAGGCAGAGAGTTTACCCTCTAATCGATATTCGTGCATAACCCAGTCGGATTTTTCACCTTTTGGAGCTCTGCCTCCGTAGAAAACCAGAGTTTTCTTCATCCCCACCAGTGATTTTCCTCTGTAAATGTCTTTATCTTTTCCCGTAGCTTTCCAGTACCCAGCTTCAGTGGCCCTGTTCGTCCTCA